GTGGTGGCTCCCGCCCGGCCCCCAGCCAGCCACTAACCTGGGTGGCTTGGATGCAGCCCAGCAGAGGGGGCTGCCTGGTGTCCCAGCAGGGTCCTGCACAGATCCCAGCAAACCCCCTGCTCTCTTCTCTCCGCAGCCCGGCGCTGGACACGCTCTGTGACACACCCCGGCCGCAGCCTCCGTCCCTCTGCCACGCCGTGACTGGGAGCAGCACAGGTTGTTACCAAGCGTAAGTGCCCGAGTCCTCCGTGCTGTCAGTAGCAGCTCTTTGAGAGCAGGGATTTCCCCAGCTCAAAGGGCTTTATTCCTTCTTAAAAACGTGCCTGGCATCGCTGCTCCAGCTGGGCGAGTGCGGTGGGGTGTCCGCAGGGGAAGCCGAGTGCTCACAGCTGCAGCAAGAACCTTCCTGTTGGGACATGAACTTAGCTGTGGCACCAGCTCTGTGGGCCCATGGTTTCAGGAGCTGCTGAAGTAGCTGCCAGCAGGGAACAAGCCCCAGAGGAGGCCGTGCTGTGCTCCTGGTGAGCACACCACAGAGCCATGGCAGAACTCCGCTGGCAACGTCACCAGCCGCCGCTGAGGGTGGCTCCCAGAGCCTGGGATGTGATGGCTGCACTGTCCCCTCAGGGCTGGGGAAGCTGGAGCTGGGGTCTCTCAGCCCTTTGGGACTCTCTCACCCAGGCAGTTAACTGCTGGAGGGACAGATGGCAGCTGAATGTCCCCCAGATCCCCTCCACACTTTGGTGGGCTCAGACATACCTGGGCAGAGCAGGGATGCCCTAGGGACCACAGCCTGTCCCGAGCTGGAGGGTGCACAGCTATAAGGGACTGGGAGAAAGAGCAATGCTCCAGGGCTTATCCCCTTGCTTGCAGCTTCTCCACTGGCTTCAGAGAGGTCCTAAAGGAGCAGGGGAGATAAAAGCAGGGGGTCCTTCCTCGGGGCCACAGTGGAGGCAGCCGGGGTGTGTGGCTCAGGCAGGCGAGCCCTGGTCTCTGCCGAGCGTCCTGCTCCAGAGCATTAGTCAGTCCTTAAAGCAGCAGGAAAAGAGCCTCCCTTGTCCCAGCCTCTGCTTCGGCTTTACTCTCAGCTTCTGACATAACCAGGTCACTATTTCCACACTTCCCCAGCTTAGATGAGAGCCGATGACTGATCTGGATGGACGTGAGTCACTGCCTTTTCTAATGAGCAACTTTCCTCTGTTTATGCACTTTGGCGGGGCCTTTCATAGACCTAAAATAGGAGCAGGGTGGCACTGGGGAGCGGGCAGGGCAATCGGAATCGCTGGCATCTGCAGCCAGCCCCAGTGAGCTGTTTCTCACCATCCCTTCGGACTCTGGCCAGCTGTGAAGTGGCAGCTCTGGAGCGTGGGAGAGGCGTGGCCAATCCTCCACGTGCTATCCCGGCTGACGCGCCAGCTGGGCCCACGGGGAGGCTGCCTAAACCCTCGGCGAGTAATTGGAGCTAATTAGGCCGGAAGATTTTTTTTCATTAATATCTGTGGAGGCAATGCCTGGGGGGCCCCACGGCAACAAGTGCTGTGCAAACCTGGTACCTCCTCACCCCAGGGAGGGTTGCCAGCAGGAGGCTGCCCGGGCCACGGCAGGGCGAGCTGGGTTTCCCCGTGGCCTCGTGGGACAGCTGCCCGGCTCACGTGGCGTCGCTTGTGTTTTGCAGTGACTAAGGGGAGGAAGCTCTCGCTGTCCCAGCACCAGCAGGCCAGAGAATCCTTCCCTTGGCTGAAGATCCCCATAATGGAAGCGTGAGTGCCAAGCTCCTCCATGACCTCCAGAAGCCACAACTCCTTACCGAGGACTCTGATGGCTCCACGAATGCTTTCCGAAGGTGCCCTCGGGGGCATCGCCCAAATCACCCCCTCGCTGTACCTGAGCCGGGGCAGCGTCGCCTCCAACCGGCACCTGCTGCTCTCCCGGGGCATCACCTGCATCATCAACGCGACCATCGAGATCCCCAATTTTAACTGGCCCCAGTTTGAATACGTGAAAGTGCCTTTGGCTGACATGCCCAACGCCCCCATCTCCCTGTACTTCGACAGCGTCGCTGACAAGATCAACAGCGTGGCGCGGAAGCACGGGGCCACCTTAGTGCACTGTGCTGCTGGCGTGAGCAGGTCGGCCACCCTCTGCATCGCCTACCTGATGAAGTACCACAAGGTGACCCTCTTCGAGGCCTACAACTGGGTCAAATCGAGACGCCCCGTCATACGCCCCAACGTGGGCTTCTGGAGGCAACTGATAGACTACGAGAGGAAGCTCTTTGGGAAGACGACGGTTAAAATGGTACAGACACCATATGGCATCATCCCAGACGTTTATGAGAGAGAGAGGAGACCCCTGATGCCTTACTGGGGAATTTAATGGGACTGCAGGCAGGAAGCACAACAGAAGGGACATGCTGTTCTGAGTCGACCAGACTGGAGACATCCCCTTCTCCTTCTACAGCCAACTTTGGTTCTTTACCATCCAGCAGAACCTCAACTAATTCTCACCTCACTAACCTGCAAGGCCAACGATTCCCTCCCAAGCGTTTCTCTCTACAGGGAACTCCCCCTTCCGCATTTCTCTGATTTAGCAGAACGAGGTCTCCTTATGAGTTTCTTCCTTTCATGAAGCCTCCCTCCCTTTTTTAGCCAGTTTATTAGTATCCTACGAGGAGAGGCCCAACAGGCGTTCGGCAGAGTTAATGAACAAAGCGCGCTTTGTGATGCGGTAGCCTGGATATTTCCTTAATAGCTTGTTTGCTTCCTTGCAAAATCCTGTAGTGGCTGGGGAGCGGCACTAGCGCGGCGTGAGCGAGGTCCTGCTCGACAGCAGCAGGTTCCCCCAGGAGCCAGGGTTGTGGTGCTAGTGCTGGTGTTTTCTTTAACAGCCGTAGTGACTCTCAGTATATAGTGTTTGAGATCTTTAGTCAGCTCTTAATCTGTATTAAAAAAAAAAAAAAAAGCAAAAAAAAAAACTGAACAAAAAAAAAAATGAGAGAAGTCAGTCTGTGTCAGCCACAAAAGTAAAGTAAAATTTGAATTATTCATATTAAAAAAGAAATAGAAGATCCTTTTTTTTCCACTCATTCCATGCCAGGGCAATCGTCCTGGAACACAGATACGCTCCTGAAAAAAGGTGGGTTTTGTGGGTGGAAACTAGACAGAGATCATGTCGAGGCGAGAGGTTAACCCTCCCCACCCCGGACAGCCAA